TTATGAGCCCGAGCCCAATTTAAACCCAACAATTTTTTAATACGTGGGCCGTAATAACTGACGTTCTCAACTACAATTCTGAGTTGTTTGAACTACAGAAATCTGTTTGGAATCATCTTAAAGAATAATGCAACAAGGACGAAGCATGTAAACTGCGTTGTTTGTTTATTCATAATGGTACGATCAGCAGGCAGGCCTGGCCCGGTGTGATACGTGCGAGTGGAGGAGACGCTGCGCATGACACGTGTTGCATTTTGAAACTTTGTAGCCTAACTTGTGCAACTTTGTACACATTTGTTACTTAGGCCTACTTTGCTAAAAAAAATATATAATATTTCTGATTATGCCATAGCTTTCTCCCCACCCAATTAGGCTAATAAAGTAAAAACACAAATGCTTGATCAAGGGCCCGGCCTGGCCCGGCCTGGCCCGGCCCAAGGATAGTTGAGAGAAATATCGACCCGACCCACCCATGCCTGTCAGGTAATGTACATAAAGTTTAGTAGTATATATAAAGCTTTATACATATCATAAATAGCGCCAAAGTACAGCTCCACAAATAAAGTAGTGGAGGAAGGTTAAGTATGACCTGCATCTGAAAGAATAGGTTTTGACTCTTCTGTTAGATAAACTCCTTTTTGTTAGTTTTCAGTCACACTTTGGTTAGTTTTAGGAAAATATCATGGTTTGGGATAAAAAAGATTTCACAATGTTAACCACATGTTAGAAAGCCTTTCTGGCAGAAACATATTCCCACAGAAAAAGTTATGGCATATAACTCCCTTTAAAAACAGACTGGCGTTTTTACAGCTCCATTTGTGCACCAATTAAACAGATAAGGGTAAATGTGTTTATTAATAAGCTTTAGAGTTGTTTGTAGGCCTCATTTTGAACTGTGGACAGATCCAAGCTCGCTGCATACAGTCATTGTGTTAAGCTAGGCTAAACGCCTTCTAGTTCTGTAGAAGAGGCGAAGGAACGATCAGTTTCCCTAAAGAATAAACTTACTTTGTAATAACTAAACATCCGTAGAGTTTTAGCCTACTCTGATATTGGCTTTACACATCAATATTCACAAACGGTTGTATGCTTACCACTTAACAAAAGTAGCCACAATTGCTACTAGTAGCAAAATGTTGCTCAACTGATTGTGTGATAATAAAGCCAAGTATTAAAGTGAAAGAAGAATATATTCAGAAAGGTTAGTGTATGTTTAGTTTTTTATTTAGTGTATACTTCATTTAAGTTTTGATGCTTTGTGTGGTATAAAAGGAGGGACATTTCATTTAATCAGCATTCTATGAAGTGAGTTGTACGAAAGTAAAACCTTTTTTCAAAGTTTGATGCTGTCAGATACATCTTCTGTTCCCCCAGTATCTTTACATCACTCTGTGAGTATCCATAGGACCATCAGCTAACAAGCTCCATCTCAGCCTGGAGTCATGTTCCTGTAATGTACACTAGAGAGCCGCATCATCTCCCTTCACATGGGATCCCATTGAGGACAGCCACAGCACAGCGCAGTTTTTTTTTATCTCGGACTACTGTGTGAACTTTTAATGCGATTACCGGCCACATAGGATGACATGAGTCCAGGCCACGGCGTCCGTTTTCCCAATGCGAACATAAGAGGTTTGGATGGATGGTGGGCAAATACCCCTGCACATCCCTCCTGGCAATCACTCCAGCCTCCTTCTCTGGTCATCCCCTAATTTCCAAAGGGTCACTAATCTAATATTAAAGGGCTGTGACAGTAATGAGCACTCCGGATGTGTGGTCCGAGGCTGCGGGATTAAATGGGCGCAGTTACAATACCAGTAAACTCGGGCCAATCTCAGCAATATTTAGCTGGACGTTGAGCTGCAGTGTCTGAGCCTCAAGTCATGTTAGCTTAACACCAAACACCGCTCAAGTACAAGGGGGTTGGGAGGTGTGTGTATGTGTGTGTGTGACACTCTGTTAGAAGCTTAGACTCGAACCGAGGCCAAACATTTCAATGGGTCGCATACTTGGCTTAGCAGTCAAACATTTGCTGCTTTCCAAAGTCTTTTGCTCCAACTTCCTCAGGCAGTTTGAGTGGATACACCTGATACACCTTTGGTTTTCTAAACTCAGGAGTTAAATAACCAGGGACTCATTCATCCCTGCTGCAATTACAGCAGATTGCTTCATTTGCACATGAAATTAGGAAGCCTCTTGTGCAACTACTCTGCAGGATTTTTTTTGCCTCGCATTGACTGATGGACTTTAACATTTGTCAGTATTGTGTAATTGTTTTATCTGATAATCTGTTGGGCTTAATTCTAAACTCTATATGCCAACCACATTTCTCTTATAAAACAATCAGCATTTGAAATGAGTTGTGTCATATCCATTTCCACACTCTGATGCCTTTTTTTTTCTTCCGCACGCTCTCTTTCAATCTCTGCATGCTTGAGGCCAAGAATATGAGACCAATTAAAACTCAGAGCAGGGTCCATCCTCTCTCCTGGCAGGCGTCCTGGTAACACGTTGCACATTCTTTGCTCCAGTAAGCTTCGCACTCCCCGCCCCATTTCCCAAAACCACATAAGACAAACGAGGTCTGGTGGCTCGGGGTGCGTGCCAGGCTCAGACGCGCAACAACAAAGACAAAGGAGATCACAGTGGGAATTAGGGGATTCCCCAGAGAGCAGAGGGGAGGATGATGGTGGTTATGAGGTAAATCTGCTGTGAAATCTCCCCCATGTAGAAAGTGCGGAGGACAACGCCGTCTGCTTAGCCCAGACGTGACAAGAATGAGGTCGATGTACCTCGGGTGCACGACCCCTGAGTAAGTCCAGGGAATAAGGTGCCGGGGGCAATGCAGTGCTTCGTTAAAACCAGGGGTCACTCATTAAGGGTGGGATCCTTTCCTCGGCTTGAATGTCTTGAAGGAGAGGGGGGCTTCAAAGTGATTATGGTCAGACATGGTTATCCATGTCAACCAGGGTCAGAAGTTAAAGGATCCCTGGTGACTGTCGTATTATGCTGGGATGGTGCCCCCCCTCCCCCCCTTAGCTCCCTGTGAGGCGTCACTGGTCCAGAGGGATTTATTTTCTCTTTCATTAATGCCACCACTCAAATCCTGCAAGCCATATGGTACTAAAACAATTTGTAAGAAAGGAGTGAGTTGGGTTTTTATTCTGGCTCTCACCGGGTTAGTGCCCCCTCAAATGCTCCAGAGTTATAAACTTCAATATAAGACATGTAAAAATACTTATATATAAAATGTTACACTCAAATATAGCAATGAAATACTTTTTATTGTGTGATAAAAACACATTTAAAACTTTTTGGCTTCAAGTAAAATGGCTGTGAAAAAAAGCCTTTACTTATATCAAAGATTTTACAGCTGCTTCTTTTTAAACTGCTTTTTAAATGTGCAAATTGTTAAATATGTATGTACTAATACATAAATAAATAAATCACATGTTACTAAAATAATGTGATATGGAATTTCCGTGTTTGCTAATGCATTGTAAGTAATCCCATTTTATCCTGCAGACTCTTGAGGATTAAACAACTGAACAAAATTCATGGTGTTTTCATTTTGAATCAGTTTCTGAGAAATTCCAGCAGCTTAAAAACAAGCAAATCTTATTTTTTTTCCCCAAAATTATATGAATTCCTGCGAGAGATCCTGTTAGGACCACAGCCAAAGTAGCAATGTGGGAAAAACATGTCAGTTACTACAGCTGCATCTGTGCCTCACATCTCTATGGCCACGTGTATTTCCACTGGCCATGATGGAGGTCCTCCTCACTGAGGCCTCTAAGAGCTTGTTAACTCTCAGAAACAGCCACGTTTAGAATTTTTTCTCACCGGACAGGTACCTAAAAAACCCTTTCCGCCCTGAACAACTGTCTTTGGAGTTTGCATGGGTTTCAGTTTTTGTTTGTATGCAGTTTGTCAGCCAAACCTCTACCCCCCCCTGAATTTTCATTCTTTTTTCTTCTCTGTGTGTTTTTGTCTCTTTGAGATGAAACTTTGATGCACTTATGGAACGCAGAGCTCTCTCTGTGCTGGGAGACTGAAAGGGGCCACACACCCCCAAACACACACAAATACACAACTCGAATGCCCTCCACTCAGCAGCTGTGCCCCACTGTTTGCTTTAAAGTAAGCCCCCCCCATTCAAACACACACACACACACACGAAAACACACATTCACCCTGCTCTGCTCGCTGCCGGCGTCTGCCTGCCGATGCCCATCGGGACCCGGCTGTGTGTTTGCTGCTGCTGGCTTTGATTTGCTGTTTTGTGCGGTCCTGCAGCCGTCCTGGGCCACCACAGGTTCGGAGGGGTGGAGAATGGGGTGTGTTGGCGGGGGGGGGGGGGGGGACGGGGCATGGTGTTGGTGGTACTGACAGCCCCTCCTCAAGGCATTCCACATCATTTGTCATCTTCATCTCACATGTTTTTTTCTTTTTTTTGCTCTCTGCTACATCAAAATAGCCACTGACGCTCCCCTCCCAGAAATCTTTCAGAGGTTTAACATTAAAATTGGTCACAAGAGCTTTACTCACACAGGACTAGTGTGATGTAGAGACCTCATGCAATGCATGCATTCTCCTACAAACTCTGTTCAACGATGCATGTACACACAGTAATGACATTCACGGAAATGTGTGTGCCTGGGATACAACTGTGTAAGCCAGCGGGATTAAAGATTTTAGACATTATTACTTAATGTTTTCTCGTTTGGATTTTTAGGGTTGTTTCCACTGTATATGAAACAGTGCTGGGGCCACGTGTGAAATAATTTGGTAGAGAGGTTAATTATTAATAATTCTGAGAATAAATACAGAATTAATAGACAAAATAAGACAAAATCAATACTGAAACAAAATGTAACAACATTTTATAATTTTGTCTTTATACCAGAATATTTCAGATTTTTTGCATATTTTCATTATCTTGATCACAATGGGATTCACTCTCCACCTCTCCCAAATCAAACAGCTCACACAATCTGTACTGTTTGTTAACTATACATTTATTTTGTGGATGCATAGATTGGGATTGTAAGCAGCATGTTTATTATTATGAATTTACACTCACATCACATCTGACAAGGATCATATTAGAGTTATTAGCATTTTTAAATTTGGACATTCAGTCTGTTTGAATTATCCCGGTTTTGTGAGACAAGGAGAGCAAAGCCAAGTGGAGCATTTTAAGAGTTTGGAGGACCTTGCCCTGCCCAGACAGAGGCAGACGTGCAGCTCTCAAAGTGTGTTTTTGTTTGTTGGGTTGTGTATGGGAGGATGCCCTGAGGGCAGAAGAACCTGGAACATTAAGCCTTGCCATGGCGACTCAGTGCAGCTCTGAGCCTTGAGCTGCTCTGGCAGCTTGCCTGGGGTAGAGGTGGCAGCGGGGGTGGCACAGGTTTGGAAAAGGCCCCTCAACGCGCTCCTCTTCACTCTTCTGGGACACACAACCCCACTTCATATCCTAGCAGGTGGAAATGTTTTTGACATGGTATTTTTGGAATCACGTATGCCACAGAAGGGAAAGTTGGCCTCTGTGGCCTTTGTTTGACCGTGTTCATCCAGAACAGAGAGCTGCAAGAATTAAAACATTTTGGAAGAGGGATGCAAATCACTGGGTCGTGTTCAGTGGCTGGACAGTCTTTATGATGCAGACAGAAAATGTGTCACTGTCCCTTTGAAAACGTCCCAAAATAATTACCGTTGGAGAAGATGCCAGGTTGTTTCACAGCTCCTGGGTATTGAGCTGAAAAGCAACAAACAAACAGGATTTACATGACAGAAAGTCATCAAAAGGAAGCTAGGTCAGCGCTGTGTTTTCGTGTTTCATGGTCACTACAGTCTGGAGCTGTATGAGAGACCCGTTTGATTACCAAATCACCAGAGGCACCAAGAAAGAAGCCTCCACTGGCCAAGTCATTTCTAAAGCTTCTGTGAATTTGTGTCAAGTTTCCCATCCACCTCTTTCAAAGAATCGTCACTTTGTATGAACAGGAGAGGCTGATCTGAGGACATTGATGTACATTGATGGAATACTGTAGAAACATGGCGACTCAACATGGTGCCTTCATGGGAGAGCACCCACTCCCTATTTTCAGGTGATTATACACAAATGAAAACATACTATTATATTCCATTTCTGCCAATAGATATGATATGATCAGTGGGTGCCAGGCCTATAAGCGTAAAAGTCTGTGACTAGCACCTGGTCCAAAGTCATTAAAATGATGTAATATTTATATATATCAATAAAAAATGTCTACTGTTCTTTATATGTTTTCAGATATAATGCTGTAAGTTTCTCCCCCTCTTAGACAAGTAATTATATCCTGGGTATGGATTCAAGTATATGGACCAACTGTGATAAGTTTGACAGACCCATGACCATCTTCTGGACCCCACCCAGATGTGACAGCAGCTTTCACACTTAAACAACTGTACCAAATTCTCAAGGCGAGCAGCCTCAGGTTCAGTCAGCCAAAGTGTGAAAATGCCCTTAGAGAGCCATCACACCAACACTTTATTTTTGGAAGAGCTAACTTTGTTACATTTGTGTATCTGATTTGTTTAGGTTCTCACAAGCTCTGAAGTCATTCAGAGACCAATACGAGTTTTGGAAAAATGCTGTTCCACAAGCTTAGATAGTAACCGTTCTGTCTGACAGTGACACTGACCAACAGCCAGACAGCAGCCTGAGACACACCCTGAGCATCAGACTCTCAACTGCAACCAACTTTAGCTACATGAATGGAAACATGTCTTGTGTTGCACCTTAGGTTGGAAAAATAGGTAGAGACCAGAAGGCTAGTTAGTTGGGCAGCTGTAGCTCATTGAACGTTGAAAAACGTACCTGTTAATGTCAAGATGTGATCATAATCCGCCAGTGTTAGTGCAAACAAAATGCAGTCTGCCTTGGGCCCAACAACCATTTTAAAAACACAGGAAACTTACTGTGATCTGACAAGACCAGGGGGTAGGCAACCTGCAGCTCCAGAGCCACATACAGCTCTTTAGACCCTGTCCTGTGGCTTTAAGATGAAACCTGGTAGAGGGGTATAGCATGGGCCAAGGAAGAACCCATTAACCCATTTGCAGACTACAGATTTTTCACTTTTTTTAACATTGTGAGATCAATTGTAACACTGGTGTCTATGGCAAAATGAACTGAAATGATTGCACATGCAAAGTGTAATTAAAGTGAATGGTGTCGTGGGCCTAAGCATACACAACACCTTGGTGAAGGTCTGCATTTTCTGAGTGCTCTTCCAGTTTATAATGCTTTTGGTTCTGATGATGGACAGGAAACCACACCCAATCAGCTCATTAGTATCAATTTCTAGGAGTGTAATCTACCAAAAAGCGTTCCAGTGTTCTTAATCTCTGTTTCCACCTCAGAATGTCTACAAATCTGTTCAGTACAATCATTCAAACAGCAGAGCAGAGAGTAAATACAAAGAACACACAGTTATTGTTTCCCCATGTGTGAAAATTGCACCTCAAACATCGCCATCATTGTTTACTCCATTATTAGTCTTCTTTCACTCATTTTCACTGTCCTCCAGATGTGGACAAATGCCAAAGTGAAGATGAGTTCCTGATGTAGTGCCTGAGTTTAGTTCCTGTGGCTCCTCATTACCTATAACCATTTTGTTGAAAATGGACAATTGTGGCTCACTGCCCCTGCCGGCTCTGCTGTCAATCAAACACGTACACCAGCCCGCCCACTCAGAGGCTTGGAGGCTATGGAAGCGAGTGGCACCATTCACACTCGACCAAACAAACCGAACGGAGGAAGAAAATGTTACTTGATGAGAGCGTATCCTTAGTTTCTCTTTGTCTCCCTCTCTCCCTCTCTCCCTCACTCCCTCTTTCTTCCCCTCTTCTGTCTTTTTCTTTCTCTCTCTGTCTCTTTCTCTTTGTAGTTAGAGCACCAGAAGCTGTGGAGAGAAGAGTCCAAGCCAGCCAACAAAGCTATTGAAGCATTTCTCCCCCGTCCTCCCCTCCCTCACCCTGTCTCTCCATCCCTCTCTCTCTCTCTCTCTCTCTCTCTCTCTCTCTCTCTCTCTATCTCTATCTCTATCTCTCTCTCTCTCTCCCTCTGTTCAGGCCTTGCTGTGTTTTTGGCAGTTACTACTGACCATCATGAACGTCATTGCCAATTTTTGTGAAAACTGGCACATATGGCAGCTGAAGTGCCATATGCCATACAGAATATTTTTTGGCCGTTTCCCCCATTTGTATAATCGCTGGATCCGGTATAAAAGTGGCTCATTATTAATTCATTCCTTCCCAGTTTTTTTTTTCCTTTTCAGTTCCCCTCTGTGTTTTTTCTCTTTTTTTCTCCTTTTCCTTCATTTTTTTCCAGATCCATTTGATGTCTATGAGGACAGGAACGACAAGTTAATTCAACGTGCAGTGTGGGGATTAAAGCGTTTGGTTAATTCAAAGCTAAATGTGGGGATTACTGCCAGTGCGGAAGTCCATCTTCATGCATTAATCTTGTTTGTATTCTGCACCACTATAGCACAAATTAGGTTTTAAATGCTTTACATCAGAACTTAATTGGTTTATTGTAACAACAAACCCAACTCTTGTGACATTTAATGGCTGGAAAGAAAGTAATGAAGTAAATTTAACTGTTGGTTGAGTCAACATGCAGCATTAGTTAAAGGACAGGCCCAGTGTTCTTTTTCTATCGTCGACAGATCTCATGAAAGGACCGAAACCAACAATGTGTTAGTCGGTCTCTCAATACTTTCAGATTTCTCAACCTTGTCTGTGGCACTTCCATTGGTTCCTACTGAAGGTGTAAATCTTTAAAAACACCTCACAAATATGGTTTCATTTAAAAAAAAAAAAAAAAAAAAAGGCTCAGTGATTTCCTAAAATACCGGGGCACTGTAGTTTTTAGTTAACAACAAGACTAAATAGTTCACTTCTTGGGATTTATTTTCAGTGGCAGATTAATACATTGGTGCTCTGGATAGTATCTCTGGCAGAAGAACAGTGTATGTGGGATTTAGTCAAAATAGTATCTGTGTGTGTGTGTGTTCATTGTAATTAAGGAACATGTCACATAGTGTAACAGTGTGGCTCATTGTTTTTAATACTTTTTGGACAACAATGGAGCTCTATGGCACAGAGGAATAAGATCAGGCACAAACAATACTTGTTTGTAGGATACATTTAGTGCTAGTTTAGGTCTTTTCATTGGATTTGTTGATAAAAATTGAAAAAAATACTTGCCTCGTATTTTAAAATGCTCCTTTGTGACATTTTATTCTGCGTTAGCGTTTTCACCTGTCAGTCAAACAATGTGGGCAGTACTTTAACATAATGTTCTTTTCTTTTTGAAAATTTGATTTTTTTTCTCTTTGTCTGTTGGTCTGGCTCTTACTTAACCACCCAGTCCTTGCCAAAAAAACTAAAAAACGCATAACTTCCTGTGTGACAGAGGAGGATTTAAACAGCTAATTTAAGAGCTATCCTGAACTGGCTGAAGGTTGAGTCACTGTTGTGTTATATCACTGAGAGTGAGTAGCAGGACTGACATTTATTTATATAAACTTGTGATTAAATGAGCCCAAACCCTTTTTTTTACTGCTGCCTGTACTTCTCCCCTGTCTCACATGAGCAGCTTTCACATTCCTCTTCCACTATCACAGGAATTGTCTCCTCGTGTGTGTGTCTCTCTGCCTTTCTTTGACACTCACACACAAACATCCCACACTTCCTCCTTGCTTTTGCCTGAGAGTCGCTGCCTCTCTCTTCCCTCTCCTCTTCTGCCCTCCATTGGAAAGAGACTGGAAGGTCTACGCTGACTCCCACAGTCCTGCCTCAGTGTTCGCGCTCGTCCATCATCATGTCAGTTTTTTCTTCAGTGACTCTTCTTCATCGCATTTGGGCTGTGTTGACAAGAATTCCGCTCAGAGTCAGGGTTTTCTTCTTCATTCATCTGAACAGTGATGATGTCACTAATAGATAATCAGAAGATACAGGGGCTGGCTCCAAAAACCCACGTCCACTCATTCATTACATAACAACATCATTACAAACAATGCATAGTTTGCAATCTGTTTGACCCGTTGAATATAAGTGACCTCTCATCATCACAGGTCGTGAGCCGTGAGCAGGACAACTGCATCGATTTTCCTCCTCAGGTTGATGTCATTTTAATCCTTTTTAGAGGTAATAAGAGGTAAGACTAGTATTTGGCAGAAAAAAGAAGAAAAAAAAGATTTGCACAATTAGCACAATTTCGTCTAGCAGATATACAGTATGTTTATTACTTTTTATTTTGTCAATCAAAATACAACCTCTCAAATTCATCTTCTGTCAGAGGATGAACACCTCAGGTTGGGGAAACACTGGTTTACTCTATGAGTAGCATTACATTTAGATTATGCACACTTCTGTTATTACATAGTGTCAATAGTTTTGATTTATTTATGGATGTAGAAAACACACTGTCTTTCTGATTTCAAACATGTCCTCAAGAAGACAAAAACAATGATGTGTAAAAGACACCGAAGATGTGACACAAAATTGAACAATTCAAATGATATCAGTACAAAAATAAATAAATATCTGCATCAAATCAGCTAAAAGAGAAGAATGGCTCAAGTAATTTTCACTATACTCTGCATAAAAGTCCCGCTGGTTTTTAAAAAATTTGATATTTAATTTCAGTCTGTTCCACACTGTGGCACGAGTATAAACTGTCTATTGTCTATAATCTGGCTACATTATTCACTTGAGGCTCTTTACACAAACACCCTGGCCTTAGTGTTTAGAGTCATAGTGAGTATGAACCACTCTAGGCTTTATGGATGGTTGTGCACACAAGTATTTAAGAGCATGCCACTGAGGATACTGAACTGTACAGGCAGCATTCTCACACTTTAATTTATTAACGGCACTTTATTACATTAGCAAAAAGGGGGAGAACGTGCTATGGGCACTACATTTTTCTTTTTTTTGAGGGCACTATTAGTGCATACATTTTACAAATAAAACTTAAATAAAATGGCAAAACATTTGTGTCACAATTTGTGCCTTTATAATCCCCACTACACCTTACACCCTACAACTCCAGCCACCCACAGAGGGTAAATGTAAAATATTAACAGCAAAACTTCAACATTGATATCAAAAGGCGTTTTATTTCAAGTTAAGTAGAACGAGAGGCATGCCTACATTATAGGAGTATCCTGATAACGTATCAAACAATAGACAATATCAACAATATCTGAATATATCGAAATGTCTTCATACAGATACATACAATTACATTGGTAGAAGTAGAATTACAGACTGTACTGAGTCACCTGGTGGTTTACTGCCTTGCTAAAAAGCAGCTTGGTAGAAGAAGAGCAGGAAGATCCTTGACGAGCAACAATTACAGGTGGAGAAGAGTGTAATATAAGTATCTTAGGTTGTTTTATAAAGGAACAAAGTGTCCTTTCTACCTTTTATTTTATTTATGTGTGTGTGTATTAGAGGTGTACAGTGCATGCTTGTATGTTCGACCATTAAAAAAAAACATATTCCCCTCCACGTATCAAAGTGGAGGGAGATTTATTTAAAAAAACAGCTTTGTTGGAAACAATAACTGTCAACATGTCCACAGCTGAGGACTTTGACGTCTGGGTGAATAACTATGTTTTTCCTGTGATGTGTTTACCCATCGAAGATCAATGTCTCCCGAGCTGCTTTTTTTTCTTTTTTTTTCAAAAGCACAAAACATGCCTAATATTTGATGAGACGCAGTGACAGTACGTCCGGGACGCACTGTCTGTCTGCTGAAATCCATTTGGAAAGCTTTTGTTGTCCTTCTCATGATATGATGAATGAAAGGAAGGGGAATTAACTTATCATTTACCGCAGAATCTTGCATCACAGGGAGTAGATTAAACATAAAGTTTAGTTCAGTAAAGTTGTGCAGGTTTTTGTGAGGAAATATTCAAGAACGCCTGTTGATCCATGATAAAAATATGATCCTGTCAGAAACTCTCTCCATAATTGATGGCGTGGCATTTATAAGCACAAGATTGTTCCCACAAGATGTTGCATGATGACAGTGAATTAATCATGGTGTGAGCATTAACCTGCTTTCCTCATACAGTATTTAGTCAACAGGTTATTTGACCTGATAGGAACTTCAGTTGGTCAACGCAGGAAAAGGTCAGCAACCGTTCATGATGTCAGTGTTCATGTTTTGAAGCTTAATGCTAATTATCCGGGTTGGTCTTGCCATTGTTCCAGCTGGTTCTGCACACAGTCAGCCAATGTCAGCTGCACCGCTGGCTCAGAGCAGTTAACTTTTGTCATGACGATGGATGAGATATGACAACGTAAGAGTATTCATTTCTCTCATTTGTGTTATGACCCTGAATAGCATTGTCGGATTCAGTCGTCCACAGTTGACCACATTTTCCTGGTCATTGATCTGTTCTGTGTTGGTTTTGGCTCTGACGCAGGAAGATGATGTCCACATTTTTGGACTACAAATCAGAGCAACTCAGAGGTCTGGAGCAGAGTAAATCATTGTAGGCATCCATCACTATCACCTGACAAGATTTACATTCAATGCCATTTGTATTTCCGATGTTTTATGTTTTATTTTTTATTTTTTACAATATCTGCGCATGCCAGCAACACTACACTGAAGGTTACAGAAAGATCAGAGAGACAAACCACTGTATAGCTAAGGTATGGTTACGGTTAGGCAACTAAAACACTTGATTAAGGTTAGGGAAAGATTGTGATTACTTGAAAAAGGTGAACAGCAATTACAAGTCTGTAACAAAATGCATGAAAGTCAGACGTGCTACATACCTGACATCCACACTGTTATTTTTTTTTGCCTTGCTATATAAAGGGAACACAAGGAACTCCCGCAGTGGCATGGAACACAAATCGCGATGTACGGCATCGTCTAATATTATTACTACAATATGAATGTAAGCCAATTCTCAGGAATACCGGACTGGTATATCTCTGTTGATCTCACCCACACTTGTCTGCAGTTTTTTGGCAATTCTTCTGTTGTTATTGTGTGGCACAAGCATAGGATGATGACGTTCACACTCTTTGCCCTGCCTTCACATGTCTTATTTGTTTTGTTTTTTCAGCTAGGAAGACACAAGACCAGTTTGAATTGATGAACTAATTGGAAGTGTGGGCAGTGACTCAGGGGTCTGGAATCAGGCTGCAAAGCTACAGATAGCAGGGCTCGAGCATGTACATCACCAACATGCCAACATTTCTCCTGCACAGTTGGAAGGTGAGTAGTATTCAGTTGGTTCCTGCAACTTTACCGCTAGAAGCCACTAAATCCTACACACTGGAGCTTTAAGATGGTAACGTTTTTTATTAAATGTTAGTCTGCTAAAATACTAACACCACATACTAAATATCCATTAACATCTAGTGATTCTTAACATTTACATTAACATGCTTACATTTAAATGGTAGCATGCTACCATTAGCATCTAGCTACGGTTATGGCGAAGAACTACAGCTGTGGGTACAGCTAACATTGATGAAAGATTAGAGTAGACTGACAATGTTGAGTCTTAAATGCTCACATGTCCTAAAATGGCCACCGTAAACATGGTGGTTTATTTGATTGATTCAAATTAATAATTCACTTAGCAATCTGAATCATCACAATGATCACTGACTCTAAAAGCATATCCACTTCTTTTGTTTCATAACTAAAAATGTCTTACCTTTTTATATCACAACAACTCTCAGTCCCTCTCTCGTGCTGTTTCCCATCTTAGTCTGAAACAAATTCAACTCCTCAGTAATGAAATATGAGAAAATTGACTTTACAGTCTTTGCTCGGAATCCACCTAAAATATGAACGAGGGCTGAAGGGAGTGGTGTTCAGGAAACAATGCAGCTGTCAAATTATCCAGATGATTCACAGACACACTGCTCCCTCAACTGTGAATTTCTGTCTTTGAATACACACACGCACACACACACACACACACACACACACACACACACACACACACACACACACACACACACACACACACACACACACACAGACACACACACACTCACAATCCCTCCCAGCAACATCACACACTCCCTCTCTCTGTGAACACACTCTCATACACATCTCTAATTTCCTTACATTTCTTGCATGAGAGATATTTTAACTTTTTTGTTGAAACGGCACAGCTTGTATTTTCTTCTCTTCTTTCTCAAGATTTCAGTGCAGAAACTCATTTTTAGTCTTTAGTTTTTTGGATCACTATTAGAATGAAAAGCCATCCATGTCACACAACAGAGAAGCGATCAAATGGGATGCCTGAAAGCTGATTTTATTGTAATTTCCTATAAATTCTTGAATGAGAAATTTCTCTTACTGAAAAACTTATTTTTACTGCACAGTTTCATGTTTCACATTGCATGAATACATTGAAGTAAATAATCAAGAAAATGCTTTGAAATGGGCAAAAAACTAATTTTGTATACATTTTGTTTCACTTTGACCATTTTCACCTGCAACACATTACTTTATTTTCTTTTGTGTAGAATAGCATATTACCACTAGTTATATTTTGCATGTCTACACATATTTTAACAATTAAAATGATGTCCACCCCTTTCACCAAACTAGATGAAAATCCCGCTTAAGTAAGAGAATGTAAGATTTTTCACAAACAGTGCGAGGCCGAAACCGGCAGCTCTCAGCAAGCTGTTACAACTGTATTTTATCAGTTCTGGGTTTGTATTGTGAGTGTGTTTGTGTGAATTTATTCCTTCGCCAAAAATGTTGCACCAATCATTTAGTCCATGACAGGATGCTTCATCTTTACCTCAAATTGCAATTTTTCTTTTTTTGTAACCAGACAGTGTAGGAAGTTAGGGATCTCTGATGGAGTTTCACAATAAAGGCGACACAAAAGAAGCAGACAAGAAATAAATCAAAGAAAATGTTAAAACAAGGATCGATCTCACAGTCTGACTGTTTCGACCTGAGTTAAAATACAATATACACATTATTTTAAATATTTTATGTTATTTTTTGTTGTGAAATAATTTAACATTTGAGTATATATCACTCTGCCAAGGTTCAGGGTTGAGGAGGAATTGGATGTTTGATGGCCTGAGAGCATCCCAACCACTACATTTATTCTGCTACTTCATGACTTTTAATGAGTTAAACTTCAGTATCATCTGCTGCTGCTAAGTGACGTACAGCCACGATTAAGTATCATAAGAGCTTTTTTTTCTGCTCTGCAACAAAAACAGAAAAACAGAAGAAAAAAAAACACTGAGGCACTATGAAGCTGGTCACTGTCTGCATCCCTGTTTTAGGGTGGCTGTTCTGTAACTGACCATGACCTTTGACCTCCCTGTTCATGTATCACATCACAGCAATTATCTGGATTTTAAAAAAATATTCTTGTTGGGATTTTTTCTTAAAAATAACAAAACTGTGTATTTGTGCCTCTAATTTGACAGTTAAAGCAGTGATGAATGATGAATAGTACTTAGTTGACCAAAATACACTTGGCACATTAAGTTCATTTAGAGGAACGATCATGTTGACAAGTGGTGTTTAGTTGAATAATAATTGATTAATATAATTTGGAAGTCATTTATTTATTTGTTTTGGTTTTCATTCCATTTGTCAAAACAAGATTTTACACTTTTCAGAAACAAAAAGCTCAACCGGCAGTCATGCTGGAAGGTGAACACTACATTACTGCTTGTAAACTGTAAGCAGTTTGAGATTAGGAACAGGATAGTGATGGCATTGATTTTTTTCTTTTCATATAAGAAGGGCCTGATAATTATTTGCCCATGGACGCATTTTATTATTTCGAAAATGCATGTTTAATACCAAAGAAGATAAATCTTTCTTTCTCTTTCTCTTATTATTATACTTGAGTCAATAAACATGTGTCATTAGCTTGCCATATACATTAGAATGAAATACTTTCTAACATCTTCTCATTTTTAATCATAAGTCTTAAAGTCTTATGTAATTTAAAAAACCAATAGGCCTACATGGAAGTTAAAAATGAAAAGCTTAACAAACATGTGATGCAGGCCTAATAATAAAGTCAAGTAAATTAAGAATAACGTCTTTCAGAAAATAGTATTTAAAAAAAACCTCCCAACATCAGTGCTGCACCTGACCTGAAGCTTTTCTCTCCTTCCCATCAAAATATCAGCCCAGCTCACTCAATGCAAATTATACACTGGCGCCCCCTAAATGAGCCTGAACACAGTACAGACAGCCAGCAGCAGCAGCGGTCCGCGGTGAGACTACCCGGGGTGCAGAGCCGCTGTGGCCGCGTGTTGAGCCGGCTGGCCCAGCTGGGGAGGCGGCGGAGGGAGCTCAGTGTGCCCCGGTGCTGCATGCTCCATGTCCACAGAATATTTCAGACGCGGGTTAAAGCCACAAAGGAAGCCCGTTTAATTAGCATACATGTAAATACATCTTGAGTGTCACTTGATTGTCACCCCCCTAATTTCGGGGGGGGGTTAAAGTGAAGCTCTGTGACACAAATAATAATAATGTGGATGATAATCATAATCATCATAATAATATAAAATGAAAAATGTTGATGTTTTGACTCTCATCCAGATGAAACTGCACATACAAGTATACTTTTTCCCAACACCCGACTCCCTAAATGCCACTTTATTCTAATACAACCACCAACTATTGTGATTAGAATTACAATAATAATGGGGGGGGGTGCTGGGTGGGAGGGGGGGGGGTCTTTATCCCCCTGCTCGTCCATAAATCGCTTCAAATGACAGTCGGCCAGTGAAGAGTTAAAGGGAGGAGACGGAGAGTGACACGCCTCATTGGGTAGATTATGTGCCGCAAACAAAAAGTGTGTGTCGGTGTGCCAGTCAGCCAGAGCATCGGGCCCCATCTGCACGCCTCTCTCTCTCTCTCTCTCTCACTCTCTCTTTCTCTCTCTCTTTCTCTCTCTCTGTCTCCCTTTATCCGTCCAGCTCTCTCTACCCCGCCCGGTCACTTCCAGTGTCGGCGAGTATCTGCAACAGCAGCAGCACTGTCACTTTCACCACACCGGGGGGGAAATGTACTGACACTACGGAGCAGACCGGGAGCGCATCACCATCTCCATCACCTCCATCACCGTCACCGCATCCCCCTTTGCTTGTTTTCGGGGCTTTTTTAAATTTTATTACCCCGAGGGTGCAACCGGGGTTTTGATTCGCAGCATCGCTCGCAATTCGTTTGTGGATTATTATTTCTCCTCATCGACGGAAAGGTAGGTTTGTGAAATGCAAGGCTTGTGTGTGGTTTGGATAGTTTTTTAAGAGGAGGAGTGGGGACGGTCTCTGGGTTTGTTTTTGCGCGGCACATGCAGCCACACATCCTGCAGGCTCTGAAAGCGGCGCAGGGAGAAAAAAAAAAACCCAAAACGCAGATGTGACCGCGGACAACACCCGCAATTCAGTCACAGCGCTGATTTAGGACAGTTTTCAGCCTGGCACGGCTTTAGCAGATGGGTTAAACACTCCCCCATCTCTGCTCTCCCCCTACCCCACCCGCAGTGGGTTTGAATGGGAGGGTGGCTGCTTTCCTCCAGTTTATGGATGTGCAAACATTCCGCTCTTTATTTATTTTCTCCTATCTGAGCCTGGTCAGTCATTCATATTATTGGCCGAATATTTTGTGTAGTTTCATTTTCTTGAGAAGCGATTAAATATGTTCCTCTGAGCATAAACAGGTCCTGTATGGTGCCGGAAACAAATTCTTTCGGCTGGCATGCAGCGCAGCGCTAAGAGCCACTTTGGAAAGGCTCTCCATTGCACCGTGGGTAAAATGTTCTACAGAGAGCCTCTCTGTTGCTGTTGAGCCTCTTAGGAAGATATAAAATGCTGAAAATCAGCGGGATTAAACAAAGACTTTTATTAAAAACTACCCCGGGCCATTTAATCAGATTTTCTCTATTTTTATTTAACAAATCAGAAAACCAGAGCCAGAAGCAGAGAGACTGGCTTTTCTGCCCGTGCAGTCACAAAACAACCGCCGATATTGGGGATGGACAGACGGTAGCTCATCTTTTCCCACTAGTCATCATTGTTATGAATGCAGCTGTTAATATCAGCACATTTATTTCTGAATTGGATGCGCAAATGCCGGTTGCTTCCCGGTTTTGCGCAGAGGAAGGCAAACTTTTGTTCCAACTGTGGATCTCTTTATTTTATTTTATCCAATTAATAGTCTACTTTCTATTTCACAAGCCAAGTGCCGGTGGAAGTTGTTTGAGTGGTTCCTGGTGATGTTCTAAACAGTTAATAAGAGAATTAAACATACAAATAAATCTCGGAGCTGCTAAAATAATCCACAGTGCCGCACGCACAGGCCCCAAAAAGCAACAGTAAAGGATTATGAATTATTATTTTGTAATGTTCAGTGTGATAAATATCTGGTGCAACAATAATCTACCCCACAGCACAGGCAGGAATATGACTATTTCAGCAATTTAGGAATTACTTTTTTAAGGAATAGGCCTACTTTTTCCCATTATCAGACGCTTATGATGGCGTTGAAAGCCTTTTTTCTTTTAATTCTATTCTTTTCTGTGTTATTCTAGTGTCCAGTGAGGCTATCGTTTACGGCTGAACAAGTGTGTATCAGGTGCAGGTTTCCGCGCACAGTTTCTGCTGTATTTAACGGCGGAGGGAGGTGAGGAGGGAGTGAAAGAGCCGCAGCCGTCTAAACACACACATTCAGAGGTTAGAAAGGGAGAAAAGAAATAATTAACTGGTCGTGCTGCTTTAATTACAGTCTCAGAGGGGAACGTGGTGGATTATGGTAATGAGGCGGCATACG